AAAACTACGGCAGAGCGAGTACAAGAAAAACAAACCGTGAAGTAGTGAGGGATTACTGTACACTTAATATCTCAGGATTTTATCTACACTTGATCATTTTTGGAGTCAGCTCCATTCAAGATGTTTGCCACAGCTAAGAGACTTTAGCCAAATCAAAAATGATTATATCCTGATGCATGCTCAATAATCCAGGTAGAAAAATCTAAAAAAGTTAAGTCTGGTCCTCTGGACGTTCAAAAAAAATTTGTAGAAACGTTTTGTGACGAAACATTTTTACAACATTTTTTTTGAACATCCAGAGGACCTGACTTAGCAGTTATGATAATTTTTCTAAAAAAAAAGTTAATTTTACAAATAATATAAAATTTGATGCGGTAGTAGCCAAGAGTCATTCCCAACACAAATGGAGTGTGACTTCTTACTATTTCAAATGAAACTGAGCATAATGTAAGATTTGACCCAAATGACTCATTTCCCATCATACAAAGATCTTAGTCTCCAACTCTGGCATAAAAAAGCAGCGGGTGATATGCATTCCTTCAAGGACTAGTAGACCTGTACATAATTTGTGATTTGATTCCATAACGACAAATTCAGGTTAGATATACATATTCAGACAGGATATTGTGCATTAAGGGCTGATACCAGTACTGCTACTGTATATAATGAAGACTTAACTTTTGGGACATTGCTGTGAAGAACAGCGATAATCTGGATGAAAAATATGTCAGCACAAATAACCAGAGTGGGGGTCTGTACAGTACAGCGTGTTTCAGTGTCTGCCCTGAGGTACTCAGCTCAAACCTGCCCAAGAACTAGAGAGTGAGCAAACGGCATCAGTTTTTATATTTGAACAAAAAAAGGAGCCGAAGCAAAGGTGTGGCTAGCTAGGCAAATAAATGGAAGAAAAAGTAATAGCTGTCAAATCAGGAGAGCATCTCAGTGTTTAGATATGCTGAAGAGGCCGATGTGTTTAATACCAAATTGGGAAAAAAAAGACTCGCTGAGATAAAAGAAAAATATCCTGAAGAATCTGCAAAGAAACAAAAAGATAAAGGTGTTCTGTCAATTAGATAATTGAGGTGAGGAAAAACAGCCCAGCTTTCCACAGAAACTTCTCGGCACAGATCTTCACTCTCTCCCCATTGTCTGCTCGTCGAGGTCGTGCTCTCCTCAGGTGCAGAACTTAGCCACTGTGAACAAAGAGGAAATCAATCACTGTTCACCAATCAGCTAAGCTCTGCGTCTGGCTGGAGAGAGGAAACAAAACGCTGCGGAGGAGATTGACGTGTCTCACGAAAGCTCCCTCATCATCCTTGTTTCTTCGCACTCCTCAAACACTATTATACGAGCCCGTAGGTAATCACGTCTTCTTCAGGCTGAACTTTCTGTGGGTAAGAGGGTGCGCTTGTATATGGAAGGAGATCTGGTTACCATGGCAGCCGGCAGGGTCGGGGATGTGTGGTAATCCCTGGCAATGTGATTTTTATCATAAGTCACAAATCAGCACGCCAGGAACCCTCACAGGCCAGACATGAAAGAACAAGATGTCAGATTGTTTTCCTCAAACTGTACCCACATGGTTGACTCCAGCGTCAGTATGCTGCTAACAGCAACACCCTGAAACTAAAAACTTTCTCTCTCCCCTCCACCCGTGTTTTCCCCTCCCTCATGTCTACCATCAGAACTCAGCCGTGAAAGACCAGGACTGCGGATCTTTTGCTGCCCCGCTCTCACACACTATTTCTTCGGTTACCCTTCTCGTCTCCTATTCGCCACGCTCGGCTAACCCGGCGATATGCCCCTCATTAAGCGGATCAAGAGGGATTCCAAAGGCATGTACTGGGGGGGAAAAATTACAAGAGGGTGAACAGGAAAGGGGGGTAAAAAGACCACCCTACACTTCTAAATGATGGTGCTTTTAGGATGCCCTGACAGACATGTTTTCAGCTGAATCCCATTCAGCAGAATAGGCGCAGTCTGCTGTAGTGTGTCTTTGTGGGAAAAGTAAGAGGAGGCCTGCTCGACTTTAAAAAGGACAATTGGGCGATACAATGTGAACATAAATCTACCTCCCTGCAGGGCAATACAAAAAGCCAGCGAGGAGTTCTCCTCATCCATCATTTTAATTGGAGTAAGACCTCTGATCTCAGATGACCTGCGTGATCCACTGATGTTTACAGGCGCTTGTTTGCGTCGGTCCAAAGGGAAGCTGCAGTCAAAGTTGGGATATTCATCTTTGAATGCTTCTGTCCCCTACGAGGCGACAGGGAGAAAAGGAGGAGTGACAGACGATGGTGAAGAGGAGCAGGGACAGACAGGCACTGTGGATGTGTGTCGGGGAGATTTATCGGGACTAAGCCAGATGCCAAACACTTGTTGAGAAAGCCTTTCACATCCTGTGCAAATGCACAAAACTGTTTGTGTGTGTATGTGTGAGAGAAGATAAAAGCCTGTCTCGTGGCAGCTTGACTGAAGCCTGAAACAGGATTTAAAGCTCTGAGTCACTCAGGTCAACGTGGACGGGATTTTAGCAGCAGCTCATGACACAGTCTGTGTCAACCAAGGTTACAAACACCTTCTTCACCAAACTGAGCGTCAGTTTTAAGGTATTTAACAATTAAAAGCTTCAATTGTAGCAGGCCACCAAATTAACCATACCTTTATAATAAACCACAGTAGGATTTAAACAAATATTTAATTGATCAAGCTGTAGATCTATATAACACATTCTTTAATTTGTTTGCTGAATTTGTGCTCATTGGACCAGTGCACTGTTAAAACACTGAGTCCTGAATCTTGTGGCACAGCGATGGAATAAAACATGCAAGTTACCATAACTGCTGGTCTATAGAGTGCACCGGAATATAAGCCGCGTACATTAAATTTAAAATAAATCACAATTTTGTACATAAATAAGCTGCGCTTGTGTATAAGCTGCAGGTGTCCATACTGTAATGTCAGAAACTGCACACAGATCCTGAGAGTGATGTACAGCTCTTGTTATAGAACAAGAATCAACCACCAGAGTTTAGTTTTCAACACCCACACAGACAGCGTGATCCCACAGGTCTTCATGACAACACCCTCTCCGACTCATGGTTAATCTACTGAATGAATAAAAACTTGTCTAAGAAGAACAGACTACAAATAATCACTAAATAGAACAATGCTAAACACCTATGGTAACTGAAATAGTTAAAAAATGAACATACCAGTAAATTTTACCCACAATTCCTACCTGAGGCCATGTGACCAGCAGTCAACCACAGCAGAATACGTACCGGCAACATACATGGTTTACTGACATTGTAAATGTTAAATTACTGTCATTGATTTTTATTGTTAAGCACTTTTGGTAACCGCTGTTGTTTTTAAATGTGCTTTATAAATAAATTTGACTTGAGTCCTGCTCTGCAGAACACATATGACAGGAGTCAGTAAAAATAAAAATGTTTAAAAATCCATAAATTAGCTGCTGCTTTGTTAAAGCTAAGGGGTTTAAAGTCCGTGAAAAAAGTAGCGGCGTATACACGGGCAAATACGGTAAATGTGTGGCTTAATGAAGGAAAGTGTGCTCTGACTTTTGGTAGAAGTACACTGTAAAACATAAACAATATCTGAAGGAAACAACGGCACCAAAAAATGGCGATCAATAGAATTTTGGTAAAACGTGAGAACATTTTTAGAGCTCTGCTCATAATGAGCCACTGGCAGCAGTTTCAACTGTTCTTATACAGTTTATACGTCAAACTGTAGGCGTTCTTTCTTAGTTTATATTGTTACAAAGTTGATCTAGGAATTTTGAGAAGTAAATTTTGATTGGCACCCTTCAATGTTTCTTCAGAAATTTTCTAGTGCCATCACTGCTGTGAGCAAACAAATATCTGTATTTCATTTTCTTTCTGTGAGTTCGACTGTAAAACTGAACTTTAGCAAACGTGTTGGTTGAATTGTTACAAACACAACAGCTCTTGGTGTTGAATGAGATCTGTTTCTTTAAAACAGGCTTCAGTGGAGGAAGCATCCCTCGTTTTTTTAAATTTTTTTTATGTTCTAACTCTCCTGCTGATGCACATTTTTCAGGTTGTAAAATAATTTTTTTAATCAAACATATCGAACGGCAACACAAAATCTCCAAAATTAAACTCATAAGCTTGGATTTAATAATTTTCCTTCCTACTCATAGTTTGCTAGTTATTTTGAGTAATACAGATCAAGATCTGTCTATTTGCTGTTCGTTCAATAGGTAATATTCTGTATTAGACTACTTTGTAAAAAGATCAGCAGCTTCAAGTTGAGCTGTCTTTACTGCGGTCAATCTTTGTCTCGTCTCCTATTTCTCTTTCTTTTCCGAACCACAAACTTCATTCTTTCCCTCTTTTAGTGTCAGACTGAAAACGCAACTTACTGACTGTTGCTGCATAAACACGCAGGAGGGATTCCCATGTGGACTGTGTATAAATCCCTCAGCATCAAATGGAGACTGTCTTGAGCCTGAGCCTCACTGGCCTGTTCTCTCCTTCTGTCTTCTTGCTCTCATTTGCTTGAGGAATAAATTCCCAGATTCCTAGTCTGACAAATGAATCCTGACGGTGCTGCTGTGGAACCACAAAAAAAGCACCCCCTTTGGACTCTACGAGCACATTCACAAACACACCCTGTACAGTAGGCTCAGACAAGAATGTGCAGCAAAGGTAGACTGTCCACTGGTGCAGATGAGATCAAGTTATCACAAAGCGTTCTTTTACAAGGCTTTTTCATTATCCTTGCATTTCAGATAAGTCACAAATATATTTCTAACACTGCAGAGAAACCATTTTCAGGCTGCAAACAGCTGGAGGAAAATAAAAGCTCAAACTTTTAATTGATTTTATTACAGTTTCTAATCATTCTGTCATTTAAAATGACAACAAACAAGCAGAAAGTACAAAAATGTAGTTTAAATACAAGAAAAAGTTTCATGTGCAACACACTAAACAACAAAAAGGAGCTTTTACCTCGAATGTCACAGGATCATCTCCTCTACCACCCTGCGTGCTGATTGGTCCATTTCCTCCTGGACCAATGAGAGGCAGCGACGAGCCAGAGCCTGCTGCTCAGGGTCCTCCTGAACCATCAACTCCCCGTAAAGATACACCCCCATAGCCTGTAACACACACACATCCACAATCCACACTAATTCTACTGTGTTCTTTTTAAATTCATGTCTGAAGCTTCTGTTGTGGAACCAGGGACACATGTTTTATTGACCTGATCATGAAGCAGAAAATGTTCAACATCTCCGTAAGCCTGAGAGTAGGCGTGTTTTATCACCAGCTCACACCAGCGATGTCGAACCTGGAAACAAAACACAGGAAATGTGAGTATGAATGAGACATGTTTTTCAAGATTTACCACAAAACGTGCACATATACGCCTTTCATACGATCATTTTGTGTTCCTTTCAACGCTGACAGAGCTGACCACGTAAAGTCTTTGCCTACCCTAATTTATGTTTGATGATAAACTTCAGAGAAAAAATTGTCACCTAAATTTTACACAATTTTTAGAAGGAAAAATGATTAAAAATCAGAATATCTTCCATTAAGATCTACAGAATCATCTAGAATCAGAGCCTGACATCACAGTCATCTAAAATTTATGTTAAAAATATCAATTTATTTCTTGGACTGTAGGATCTTTATGTGTGTGTGTGTGTGTGTCCTTGTTTATGCTACTTTGTGAGGCCCATTTTTCCAACTTATACTACATTGTGGGGACCAACTGCTCCTTATGGGGCCCAAAGCCCGGGCCCCATAAGAAGAAGTCCCGTTGGTGGGTTAGGGGCTAGGTTTAGGACTAAGGTGTGAATTGAGGATGTGTTAGGTTTAGGGTTAGGTATGTATTGGTAATGGTTAGGTTATGGATAAAGGTCATGGTTAGGCTATAGAAATGAATGAAAAATGAATGGAAGTCAATGCAAAGGCCCCACAAAGATAGCAAAACAAACCTGTGTGTGTGTGTGTGTGTGTGTGTGTATGTGTAAGCTAATGCCTGGCCTTTCTCCTGGAGGATCAATAGAAGCTCTGTTGCCGCGGTTACAGGAGAGATCAGAGACTGGCTCTGTCCCCGCCTCAACCATCGTGCTTCATCATATGATATGAGTGCACACATGAACATATGTGTGTGTGTGTCCATTTATAGATACACTCTTGTGAAGGAGGCAGACAGAGGATGGTAAAAAAAAAAAAACAACAGAAAAATTCGGATAAAAAAATATTTTCAAACACCATCACTTCTTTAAAGCTCGGCCGTTTCCCTCTACTTATTTTTTCCTCTGGGTCTTTCAGTCTTTTGCACAACTTTATCCACACAGTTACGGAAATAAACAAACCCTTTGGAGAGTTCAGTGACGGAGAGTAGGACTTTTAGTGACTGACTCAACAGCTAAGCTGCTGAAATCAAATCGGTCACGAAAACTAATCCACAAAAATGTCTTGCAAGTCAGAGGAGCCAAATTGATGTACAGTATATGGGAGCTTTTTTAAATCTTAAAAGCAATACTTTAAAACTTTATACTTCTGTGGAACGTTATGAGCAAATAATATCTTACCTGTTGCAGAGAATTCTATAACGAGCCGCACTTTAGTTTAAATCTAACCAGACAGACGAGCTCAGCGAGTCAGAGTGGATTTGTTTACACCTTAAAGCACCACTTTCAAAAGTCTTAGTAGTTCCTGTAAACGTTATCAACTGCCATCAACTTGACAATATATATGTTACACTGGCAAATTTATTGTGATACTCCTGTTGGAAGTGGTACAGCTAGTTGTTCTTGCTACTTTCTGCATTCGTCAAAAAAAAAAAAAAAAAACTGTTGGGTAAAAAGTTTATAAAATGCCATTTTTACAAACCCCTATAATAACTTTTAGGATTTTTACTTATTCCCCCTTGGTCTTGGCACTGCATGGTTTAGCTGTTAGCTCATAAAAGTGGTACAAATTAAAGTTTTTCTCCAAATTGAGGCTGTTCAAACGAGTAAATAGTATTTATTTTAAATTTAAATCTTAAAATGTTGTTTTACTGTCCATCTGTTACATAGCTGCAGAAATGCAGATCAAGACACTTTATGTTTATCCTCCAAATTGATTTAGCAACTCTAATGCTAAAAAAACATTTAATTATTCTTATACTGGGTTTCACATTTACCGTAATTTTTGCAGTATAAGTTGCAGTTTTGTACATAAATTAGCATGCCTGCGACTTATACAGCAACGTGATGCATTTGTTTTTTCCCCTCATATTTATAACCCAATGCTTGGTTGAGATCTGAAGATTTCATTCATTCTGACATGAAAAATATTGAACACTACCATTTCCAGCCACTAAAGGGACCTCGACTAATATGGCAAGCCAAGTGTCTCATTAATAGGTAAAAGTGGATATTAATGAGACACTTGGTTTATCATACAAAGCCACCTACGTCTCGCTCCGGAACTCCTGGAGCAAACGTCAAATCAGCTGCATTTCACCGCGCCGCCCAGGCGAAATGCAGCTGATTTGACCATTAAAGTGCATTTATTAAGGAAAAGTTCGACTGAGACACACCTTTACTATAATTTCAAGCAAACAAATGATTGTTTTGAAGTGTTAATCTTGTTAAATTCTTGTTAAAGTCCTCCCGCGCACGCTCCCGTGGCCGTCGTTTGGCAGCCATTTGATTTTTGGCACAACACCGGCCCCCATTTCCAGGTGGTCAGCGGCTACACATAACAAACGCGACACGTCAGCGGTGATGCATAATAGATTCGACATATATGGCGAAGCGAGGTATATGTTTTTTTTCCACTTTATTAGACATATTTAGACTGATGCGATTTATACGGCAGTGCGGCGTGTACAGCAGCAAGTACGGTAATTGTCAGTGTGTATCTGCAGAAATATACAGAAAGCTGATTTTTAAAAATTTTTTATAAAGTAGTTGAGGTGCTACGTTCTCTACCTCCTGCTCTCATAGCAACAACGATATGTGTTTATGTGTTTGTGTGCACAAGTGTGTGCCGTATGTTTACCCTTTAGTGTCAGTCCTGCCCTTCTGGCCTGTGTAGCCCCAGCAGCTGCTCCCTGCACTGGGTTACATTCCTGGGGAGAGCCCTGGGGCAGAGCAGCTGCTTGGTGCACCTCTTCTTCTCTTTTTTTTCCACTGTGCTCCCTCTGTGGGCCCCTCTTCCTGACAGCACATGCAATTACGCAGTGACATTCCTTCATTTATTACTGCACCACCGCCCTGCCTACACTCTCCTCTACCACCAGTTTTAACACACACATCAACTCTACAAGTGAACATGAACCATCTCCGACTATTTGAATCCTACTAATAAAACGTGTGTGAAATCAAGATAAAAATGCAGAGATGAAGTTTCACAGGCTGGATCCCAGAGATTAACGAAGGATTCCTTAGGAGGTTGGGCTTTGTGTGAAAGCAAAAACAAATCTTTATTGGTGAGCAGGTGCTATGAGGCGTATTTTTAACTTTTAAACAGGCTTTGTTTGGTCTCTTGTTTACTGTGCAGCAACATACATCAGTAGGAAAAAGGGGACTTTACACCAACATTGACAGGTTACGATCACACTGCAGGTCTTAATGCTCAATTCCAAAATTTAACTCGGATTTAAATTTTTTTTGGGTGGTCAGTCACATTATGAATAAAATGTGACCTCCATCAGACTCCAGTGTGAACCGTTTAGTTCTGAGGCGACCCACATGTGTGACGTCACCCGCAGCACGCTGTGTTTAAGGAGGTAAATAAAGACGCTACACATTGTAGCATGTGTTATTCTGAAGTTGTGCAATCAGAACTGATTAAATTATTATCTGACATGCTTATCGGGTCCAGTTTTTACATTTAAGTTTGTCTCTCTGGTGCAGCGTTGTTATTTTTGAAACGAGAGTGACGTACTGAAAAAAGAAACATACTCAAGCATCGATCCCACCCCGATAGTATCGATACGGTCCGACACTGTGGATCATCTCATCCAGGACGTTGGAAATTAAAGCAAACAAAGATGAAGCAACTGGAATTTGTTCTGGAGATGAAGATGTGTGGAATTTTGAGCTTTAAACTGCATGACATTGGCATCTTTATTATTAATATGTGGATCGATCCGCTCACCCCTACCTCACTGACGTAAAAGTCGGATGAAATGCGACATGACTGTTCAGACTGCTGTTGCTTTGTAAACCATCTATGAAAAAGTCCTGGGTCAGATTAAAAAAAAAAAAAATCTGATTTGGGTCACATTTGCAGTGTAAACATAGTTTTATTACTCCAATCATTTAAGGCTTCCTTTATAAACTCATTTACATGTGCGCTCTACAACACAACCAAATTGCGCCAATTAATAATGTAGCCTAATATAACAAAACATTAACTGATTTAGTCATGAAGATGAAAACTGTAAACACTGGCATGACTTCTGTGAGATGGAGTCTTTCTGGCTCTGGCTTCTTCTGTCACATCCCATAGATATTTTTATCAGGCTGGAATATGAGGAGTTTGGAGACCAAAGCAAACTTCTGTCATGCTTCTTGAGTTATTGAAAATAATTTTATGTCCCGTCGAGGAGCTGTACAGTACAGAACATTGCACTGATTCATGTTATTTACATTGCCTGCAACTGTATAAAAATTAAAGCTTATTGGTTTATACAGCAGCTGTAACAGTGTTTCTTTCCACTTTACTCACTGGTTCCCATTAGACCTGAATGTGATTTTATTTTCTTATTGGGTGTGTGTGTGTGGGTGATTTTGGCTATCTTAATGGACCAACTTTGTCTCCAGTTAAATATAAGTCCCTTACATAAGTACCGGTACACTCCAGTGAACAACCCCCCCCCCCCCTCCCAACACACACACACACGTGCACAGGTAGAAT